ACTTCGTGAGCTAAATTTTTTTTTTTTTATATATTCCACACACCAGCATCTTTCCTCTGAAATAAACGACAAGATTTGAAAGATTTTTTTCTTCGAATCACCGTTATTCCACGCACTTCGAACCACGAACTCGATTTACATTTAAATCACACGGTTTCAAAGGTAGAATTTCTTCTACAATTTTTCCTCTCCTCTTTTTAAAAAACGAAACTGTCGTTCGACGTACTTCTTTCGTGGAGAACATATCTCTGGTACTCAAAGCAGCGGCACCGCGTTCAGCGTGATTTTCATCGGATCGCTAAGGACGTACCTTACCCTTAGGCGTAAGGTAACGAGTGTGAAACGTTTAAGGCGAGCCGCGTTGGGACATTACCTGGACTGATCGGAAACTGGGTGGATCGACGGGCGTAGTGCCAAGGCGGTGGGCTGTAATACATAAAACGACAGAACGATGTCACGTGGAAGTGGCAATTTAAAAAAAGGGGGAGAGTTGTGGCAACACGCACACTCGTAATCGCGCCAGGGTAATTAGTCACAGCTTCGAAATAATCGTCGCCGACGCGAATGATCAAGATTCCCGGCTGACAAAACCTATTCTTGTTGTCTTGTAGTTATAGGGAAGCTAAATAAGAAGGACGATCAGGTCGAATATCATAACGGTCGATTATCATAATAAGTTTCGTAATCGGTGAAGTATCTCTCCTCGTGCCTCGCTTCCTCCCTCCGTCCGATACTCGTTTTTATTTAGATCCCCCTTTCGATTTGATTCGGCCCGATATTTTCAACGATTGTTTACCCTCTTTGTACTCGTATGCGTTAATTATAAAGGGATTATTCTCTGCCGGACGGATTGGAACAACAGCGTTCGACGACGATCAGGGAGTACGTTACAAATTATTATTACATATTTTGACACGACGACGATTTTTTCAAAAAATTTTCGGATAAAATTCACCGGTAATTAATTAAGCGAACCTCTGTGCAACCCGTCTGAATGGTGATCGTGCTCGTAAACGTTTTCGATTCCCAGTTGCAGTTGCCGTTGCTGATGTATCCGTTCTTATCGAGGGGCGATAGCTGAGAATTCGGGGATCCGTAATCGGGACTCGAACGATTGCAAGCCTGGAAAAGCGATTAGTGGCGAGCGAAAAAAAAAAAAGAAAGAAAAAAAACCACACACACACACACACACGCACGCACGTTGTAATATCTTAATTATTTTCATACTACAATTTTCTCTGGAATTGGAAATTCTTCGTATTTTTCTTTCTTCCAGTCATTTAAGTCTAATAAAATAACCACTACTTGATGCTCGTGTAGCAAGCGATCAAACGAATATTAATTTGCTTGTCACTCGTGAAGCAAAAACTCGTGATGCAAAATCTCGAAGTACAAAAGAGAGGCAAGGATACGATAATAATAGTAATAATAGTAGTAACAATAATAATAATAATAATAATAATAATAATTGCAGTTGAAGGAAATGAACTTACAGAGAATGGTTGGGGCGACGATGCGTGATTGCTCAAAGGTGGAGATAACGGAGCATGCGCGAGCGCGGCGGAAATCGTGCTCGCAGGAGCCTTATTACCGCCCCTGAAACGTTTTATTTAGCGCGTTATTTAAATTCTGCGCATATTTCGCCCATGATTCTCTCCTGATTTCCTTATGATTCAACATACTTACGGTGGTATAGTGATTGGAACCAAGCCAGCAGGTGCATTTTGCCTGGCGACCAATTTCGCGTGTATGTCGCAATACAATTTGTTGTTGATATTATAGTAGCCGACGTTTTTCAAGGAAGTGCCGCAAGTGGAGCATTTGAAACACTCTACGTGAAGATTCTTGTCCTTGATTCTTACGAAGACACCTCTGCGGAGAGAGAGAGAGAGAGAAAGAGAAAGAACAATCGATTAGAAGAGAGGTTCCTTTTTTCTTTTTACGCGTTCGATTTTTTTTTTTTTTCTACATAAAGGGTTGAGAGTGCTTTTGTTTGTCGGATGTGCCACGAATTTTTTTTTTTTTTCTTTCTTTGCTTCAAGTGTCGAGAAAAAAAAAGTGGGAGTGGACTCGATACCTCGACGAAAGAGGCCGAGAATGCAGGGTTCGCGTTACACGAATGGTGTAATTTTTTGATTGTAATTAAGATTTACTGGTGATCGTGATGCTCTGTTAAGTGAAACGAATCTCGGTTAATTCTTAATGAGATACACATCGTTCGTTCGAGGGATGAATAATGTATTCTTGGTAAAAAAACATTGCTTAAAATTGCTTAAAAACACGTTATATACGTGAACGGTGTAAATAACAATTGAGAATGAGACGAGAAAAAAATCGCGAAGCGATGAAAAAATTTTGTTGTTTTCGATATTCGAAAAAAAGGATGTTCGAATGTTTTTCTCGAAAAGGGAAGAAAAAAGAGTGTATAGAAAAAAATGTAACAAAAAAAAAAAAAACAACAACATTGATACAAAAAGAAAAAAATACGTTACAAAAAAAAAAAAAAAAAAAGAATCACAACATCGAAAGCCATTGATGCCTATGCCATCCCGGCGATTACGTACCAATATGTAATTCGACACAAAATGACACAAAAAATGCTAAATGATACGATGCGATGGAGATGGAACAAATGAACACGTTAGATCTTGCTATGAAATCAATTCCTATGAAAATTAAGCGAGAGGAAGCTTTTACAATTGCAAATGATTTCCACACATTTCCGCGTAGAGCGATGAGAATGTTCGTGAATGTTCGAAACGTTTATTCATTTATTTTCCTTTTTTTCGAAGAAGCGATATCGACGACACTGGCGACAGAGAAAGGGTTCTGTGCTTCCATTCCAAAAAACATAGCGGCAAAACGTGCACGTGTACAAACACCAATTACGTTCGAGTATCGATCTACCATGGACGAATGCATAAAGATGCGGAAAAGATTTCGTTTTCGTCTTCAAAATTAAAAAAAAGCATTTTTTCGAGATGATACCAGGCGACACGACAACAATCCAGGCGGCCAATAATTCAGCGTGTATATACAATATATATATATATTTTTTGTTTTTGGTTACGAACGTTAATGGGAACGAGATTCACGATTCGTAAAATAATGTATACATGAAAAAAAGCAAAAAAAAAAAGTCACGGAATCGCGAACTCGTTCCTCGCTCACATACGTGCTTACGTTATTTCTGCACATGTGAAAAGCGACATATCGTCGAAATAGTCCGGTCCATCTCGACCGTGCAAGGAAAAAGAGAGAGAAAAAGACAGAGAGAGAGAGAGAGAGAGAGGATTTCACGTTATTGAATAGTTACACGATCACTCGGTCGCAGTTGTTACAACGAACACCCGATGATCCCGAGGGGGAAGAAGAGGAGGACTCCTGTCGTTGCACTTGATGTCTCGACGACGGACATTCATTGAAATTGACGGCTGGACTCCTACTACCATGGAGTGCATGAAAGAGAGGCGTGGGTGATCTCGGCGAAGTGGCCCTTCCGCCAACGGCATGGCTCACCGACGAGTAAAACTCTGTTCTCGAAGAAACTACGGCATGGAAGTAGAGAAACCGTTCTGTGACTCGACCAGTACGAAGAAATGTGTCTAAATAACCGCAACGAGCAATAGAAACGAGCTGTTCTATCATTCTATCTCCCTTAAGGGGAGATTTTTATCCTCTGTCATCTCTTGTCCTCATCCATCCGTGTCCATCGTCTTTCCAAGTCGTATCGAACCCTTCTCGCGCCCTTCTTACTCTCTTTCTTAAAAAGACGAGAACAAGTTTTCTTTTTTTCTTTTCAAAACAAAAATTGCTCGACACGACGAAACGACGAAGAGGGAGAGGGTCGCGGAGGATCCAATTCTCGAGGTTGGGGATCGAAATGTAAACGTGCCGCTTCTCTTCCACCTCGTCGAAAGGGAATCTCTTTCTCGCCGCAATTAGACATAGAATCGGTCACGGTCCTATTTTTCTTTTCTTTTTCTATTCTTTTTTTTTCTTTCTTTTTTTTTTTTTTTTCCCCATTGTTTCGATGTCCCTGAAAGAAAGAAAGTAACGACCGAGAGGGCGATGCGCCTCTTGGCGTGAACTTACACGATGAGCCTCTCGCATTCGGCACAAATGTTCTGTCCAGGTGGAAGGCTCGATTGCGGCGTGGACGGTTGGGACTGCTGCTTCGTTTCCGGTGCCGAGACTGGCCTCAGTCCTGCCAGGGCCGGCGAACACGGCGTAATCACGCCGCTCTGCGCAGTTGGCTCCGCTATTTCGCAAAGAAGTTATCGTACCGGCATGCACCAGGCTAACTGGAGCCAGTTGATCCAATCGAAAAATCACTGGAGAGATTATTTATCGCGCGTCACGCTCTTTTTAACCATTCTCGTTCGTTCCACTGTTATGCGCTCGACTACCGTTACAACAACCCGTATAAAAACGTTGTTTTATAAAAACAACTCTCCAAAGATTTTTCTTTGATTTCTTTCTTTTATTTTTTTTTTTCTTTCTTTTCATTTCGTTTCGTTAAACAAGAGAGAAGAGAGAAGCAATTGGAATCTCGTTCTCGAATTTCAAAAGGAATGTCGATCTTTCTCTTTCTCTAAGTTAAGAATTTCCTGTAAACGCTACAGGATCGATTACTACTAACCAGGTTCCGGTGTCTTTGGCTCTTTGTCCGCTTCCTGAACCATTTTGAATACCTCGCTGTTCTCGGCGTTGTAATTTTTCTCGTTCTTCTTGAAATTCACTCTGCAAACGATCGTAACTCTCTTATCGTCCAGATCTGTTATTTCTATATAGCCAACTTCGCTTTTTTATTTATATATATATATATATTTTTATTATTATTATCTTGAACAACAACAACGATCTTCCTCCTTACCCGAGCACACCGCCGGCCAGAACTTCCGCCTGCGCGGAAAGCGTTTCCGCGATAGTCTCCTCGCTGTAGATACCCACCGGGCTGTTGTACTGTTTGTTAACGATCGATTTGATCGACCCGTCTCCCGTTCCATTAAGCTGCAACACGAAATAAACACGAATAAATAAACAGATCGAAGACAGATCCCTCCTTCTCTGTTTAATTAACGAACGACACGAACGAATGGTTTCGGCTGAAATTGTGCCCGCTTCCTATGAGCGGCCCATCTTGTTCTTGGCCGCCAACGACGTTTTCGTAACTGGAGCAATATTGCTCAATCCACTGGTAGGCGACGGCGAGGGAAGGGTAGAGCTTATCGGAGACACGTGCGGTTTCCAGGTACCTCCACCTCTGTGAACAACGGTAAGGGTGAGTCGAAATAGGAATGATACGATAGAGAGTAAGAATGGAGAGAAAGACGTTGAAAAGACGAGGCCGTGCCTGCCTCTACCTCTGTACGGTCAACTCGAAGTTGTTCCCGGCCCTCACGATAACATCCTGCGCGTCCTTGTGCCTCAGATTGTACATCTCCGTGTTATTGACCCTGATCACTGCATCGCCCGCCTTCAGACCAGCCGCTTCCGCCGGTGATCCGGTATTGACCTGCAATGTAATAACTTGACTTGATTAACGTACGAATTTATCGCTATTTTAAAAATAGTATTTTTTTTTTTTTTTTTTATTTCAGGTTAAAAAGATCGGTGTCATCCACTTTTATGGAGAGAAGGAAAGAAGGCGCGGACACAGAAGAAGATTCAGAAGAAGAAGAAGAAGAAGAAGAAGAAGAGGACTTTCAACTATATTCGAAATGCAGGCGGCTCGTTACACCCCGAATGCCGGGTACTGTGCATCCATTCATGCGAGGATGTTGGAAAAAAGAAGATTGGACCGAGAACACGAGCGGAGACGTCGAAGATAAACCGGGAGGAGGGTTTATTGAGGTCTAAGAATACGTTTTTTGCACGCTCTCTAAAAATCATCCCGGCTTATTTCTCGCGATTCATTAATCGTAACGCGCGAGGATCAAACGATCGATTATCCGTCCGCTCGCGGATCTGTTTATATCGAAGAGATCGCGAATTGCACTTTGCGAAGAATTCTTTCTTCTTTCTTTCTTTCTTTTTTTTTTTTTCCTCAAGTTCGAACGGTCCAATTGCGACACTGCCGATCGTCGTTATTTATGAATCTCGCCGCTTTATCTTTCCTCGCCTTATTCCAACTTCACCGGACGACGGTCGGCAATTAAGGAAATGAATTACTTCGCGTGATCAATGAGCCGCTTTAAATCATCATAATTTATCGCGTTACACCTCGCGCTGTTATAATCGTGATTTTGCTCCAAGTTAATTACGCTATTAATATATTTGGTAACCGCGAGGGAATACGCGAAGGATTCGCGGCACCGCCTTCGTTCGACCAAGTTGATCCCTTTTCGTTGATCCCGGTTGATATATAATCGATATACTATACAAGAGGAAAGAAAACGAGTAACGAAATTCTCATTAAGAGCCTCCCACAGCTAGAAGCGAGATCGTTTCTTCTCTCTCTCTCTCTCTCTCTCTCTTTCGAGACCACGTTCCAATGGAATCTCTCGAATAATTAATAGACGATCGATTCAAGCCCCCGAGTTGTTTCTATAAATACGTCTTTACGTTCGGTGATTCGTTATCGTTATTTTTATTAAGAGATCTCTCCTACTCGCCTCGATATAGTTTATAACTTGCTACGACTTCGAGTCAATTTTTCGTGTACGTATATTGAAGAGAAAATATATATATGGGTCATTCACGGATATACCGCGTGAGCAGAGCGCAGTATATTCAATGATAAATCGAGCGATCCTCCTCTCTGGATTTAAGCTCGCGTCACGAAGGCGCGAAATCAGGGCAGAGGGTGAGTTGTTCGATTCACACGTCTGCCTCCAGAAATAGGAACGCGAAGTTGCGTCATCGTTGTTGTCGTAACAGTTGGATATACGTGCTTTGCGCTTTATTATCAACAGCGAGTGTACAACACCTCGAGCGAGGGAGGAAAAGGAGGAGGAGGAGGAGGAGGAGGATCTTATAAAGGGAAAAGGAGATCGTCGATTTATTATATCCCGAGAATGAAGTTGATCCCTCGGGAAAAACGAGTCAAGGAACTCGAGATGTTCACTCTTGTGTGTCCCTCTAGGTCCACGAAAACGTAGGACGGTGGAAGTCAGGGTTAAGCGCTGGTGGGCACTACGTGAAAGGCTGACTCTAAAAATAGTCTTGGACCGGTTTAAAAATAGGCCCCCACACGCATACACACACGTGTACACACACTCTCTCGTATACATCGCGTACACGTACGAGAGAGCAAGCGAAACCGCGTTTGAACGCATCGAGATGCAACATAGCCTCGTACCGTATGACATATCGGGACCCCCAGGCCCGTGTATTCATTCTACGAACGACGGTGGTTCCTGCCACCGTGGGCCGCGATGAATGAACGAGTACGCGCGGACATATACGCGTTTCGAGCGTGCACCAACTGCGAGCGAGCGAGGCGAAGCGCGTGCTTCGGGTAATAATAGCCCTCTGACAATTTTGGACAAAGTATATAGAGTTTGCCTCGCCCTTCCCTCCGCACATCCATATACGCACTAATCGAGCTTATTAACTTATCGGGGGGCGGGTTCGAAACGAGCTCCCTTTTTTTTTTTTTTTTACGACGCGATGTATTATTATTACGAAAATAAGCGCTGAAGCTTCTCTCTCTCTCTCTCTCTCTCGTTTTCTTCTTTTTATCTCTCGTCGAATGGAAG